GACCAACTCTACCTTTGGATCTGTTCCAAACAATGCACTGACCTCTCCGCTTCTGTCCTAAAACACCGCCAAGCCTAACCGCCAGCCCAGGAGTCAGTGGAACGCTAACTGCGACCTCATGTTAAGTCTATCCTAGTATGGCAACGTGAATAGCAGCTCTAATTAGTGGGAAGAAATTCTCCCAGCTCTCTGACTTTCTACGCTCTCTGATGCACACAAATAGAGAGCCCAATTCGCCATCACTTTACATTTATAGCAGCAGTGTTTGATTTTGCTTTCCCATTGACCAGTTTACATCTATAGGTGACATATGGCGCACTATTAACCGCGTGCTCCGGGCACCAACGCTAGACCCGCGCTCAAACTCCAGACCAGCTGCCCGAGTTGAGGCGCCACAGACGGGCAGGAGTCAGCTTCATTGAGGCCACTACCCGCTGTACGAGACTCCTCACCTCAAGACTGCAAACTGGGGATAACGCCGACAGCAAGATCTTCGAGCAATTAAGACTTATTTGCAGACACTGACGTGCTCTTTCACATGCGTGTGAACTACTAATGCTGGTGTTAAGCGTGGTCACCACCGCCCCAGGCGGCACGGGTGTCACATATGATGTGTTAAATGCCTCTTATTGCCACCCCTGGTAACCCCCTCCTCTGTCTATTTAACTCCCCTTTTGATAATTGGTCAGCTGGCTCACTTATGGGAAGACTGCCACCACCATCCCAGTCCTAAACCAGGCACCCCTGACCTCTATGAGCCATTTTGAAAGAGTAATTGCCCACTGCATAGCTCACTACATGGCAAACACCTCCGCCAAAACCTCCCTCGTCAACTTCAAGGGTGCTTGATAAAGCCAACAGTGAAGTGATCCTTGAGGGCCTCACCTGGTGGATGTGAAGGGCAACTCCTCATCGGGATTGGGTTAACTACCTCCCATCGACAGGCCCGCAGGTCCGTTTTCAGGCTACTACCTAAGATCAGGGACCTTGATCTTGGCATGCCTCAGGAGGTGTGTACCCAGCCCCACCTTCAATGTTCTTGGCGAACTCCA